GCGTCTTCCGATGTTCCAACGTTGATGGAGCGAGAAACGGCGTAAACGTATAATTGGCTGCACTTAAATCTCTATAACGCGGCAGTAAAAATGCAGGGCGCGCCGCGTAAATCAACACGAGGACGATATGGATCCTCTCTCCCTCCCCTCCTCCCTCCTCCTCCTCCTCCTCCATTTCCCTCCTCTTCTCCCTCCCAACTCCTGCCCCTCGTTGCTCGTAAACGCGTCGCGGAGGACGGAAACAAGCGTGCACGCGTGCACCCGCGCGTGCAATGCGAACAATTTTCGCGACTTTCCCCACCATGGAATTTATCGCCACGTATATATCTCTCGTTTTGACTCTCGTCTGGCCGAGTTTAATCTCTTCGTTCCTCGGAGAGGGGAACACTTGTTACCACTCCGTCCGACGAGAACACGATTATTCTTCTCGATGATCGAAGAATATTTCAATATCCATCCGTCGGGAAATTGGAGATTAATCTTTTAACATATATTAAAAGATTTTAACAACGACGAAAAATGTATTCGGAATCGAAGTCGAATATTGTAATTCCCCCGCAATTATCTTCGTATAATTTAATCACGGAAGAATAATTTCAGAATTCGTTCTAAAGAGAAAGGTTGTCGGTATCTCGTTTCGTCGTCTTCCGGTTTCTTGCCCCTGAGTTGAAGTAGCTTCGTTTTTCGATGGGATTAGTGTCCCTCTTTCTCTCTCTCTCTCTCTCTCTCTCTTTCGAGGAAATGAGAAATTCCTGACGAGCATGAGCCGGAGCTTCTTCGACCGATACGTCAGGGCATGGTAACGGCGGCGTACGATCGGCCACGCTACATTAACTCGATTCACCGAGTAAATTAACTGCAATCAGAGGGACGGTCCGCTGGCCGTTCCGTTATTCCGCTAGCCGACCGTTCCGCGCGCCTCTAGACCGCTCTATTCTGCCTCCGCCTGCCATTATGGGCCGTGGAACAACGCAGCGGAGAAGAAGGACCTAACGTCGTTTTTTGCGACCACGAGGACCGCAAACACCCTTCTCTCTCTCTCTCTTGTTTATTTCGACGAAAACAAGCATTTCTCCTCGATCGAGAGAGAGAAACGGATGACGCTGAGACTTCTGGCTCCAAACCATGATCACGCTCGAGGCGATGACGTGATTTCTTGATCGTTATTGCTCGATTGTACGAGCTTATTCTTCCCATTCTACCTTCGCGCCGATTCATCGCGTGCCGTGATTTCTCGATCCTCGAAGAAGAGGATTGCCAATCCATAGTCCAAGAAGGATGGATTTAACGTTTAAGAGGGGAGAAAAATTGCAAATATTTGAAATGCACACCGAATACGATAGAAAACTCGAGCCAGGAAAACAATCGAAACAAGTCTTCCGTCTGACCATCACGGATCGAAAGCCGCGGGACGTTTAAAAAAAAAATGCAAAAAAAGAAAAAAAAAAGAAAAAAGAATCCCCCGTCATCCTTAATTGAACATTCCAGCGCAACCCCTCGTCCATTATTCCGGTCGGTGTGGCGTATCCCGCCACCGTCAGAATCTCGTCGGGAATCGAAATCGAATGGCAGGTGGTCGGCGAGGCTTGATCGAAGTCGATCGCTTTTCCCTTCCCAGATTTCTCCCTATCCCTATCGCCACGAAATCGGCGAGGAGGCAGCCACGATTTCCATCGATCTCCCGCCGTCTCCTCTCTCCGTACGACGGACGTACAAATTTTTCGTCGTCCCCTCCCCCTCCCCGCCCGTACGAATTCAAAGTTAATCTCGGCCACGGGGCCGCCTCCTCTCGAGAGGGGTGGGTCGGCGCCCCCGGGCGACCTGTCATCGTGAAACCCATGGGAGCTCACCCATGATCTCTCTGTTACGATAGAACCTTGGGAACCGGAGCCTTGGGCACCACGATAAGGCTCGGTCATTTATAATCCGTCCGCGTAAGTAGCCTGTTCTCCTTCCGCGGCAATAGAGAGAGAATGAGACAGAGAGAGAGAGAGAGAGAGAGGGAGGGAAAGGTATAAAGGGAACTCTTCCTCGAACTTCCGCCGGTTGAAAACGAGCAGATTGGCCGTTACGGCACGCCAGGTGAATTTCGATTCATCGAGATTGCAGTCGTTCGATTCGACTTCCGCGTGCTATTTTTAGATACGCGGTTTAAGTATGGATCTAACGTCTGATCGGGAAGGTTTCGTTCTTACTCTTTACTTTGGAGGAAGCAAATAATTTATTAATTACGAAATTGAATGCGATTCGAATTTCGAATAATTCTTATGCTTCGAATGATAAATTCATTGTTGAAATATTGTTCATGTCTAATGCGAGTTCCAACGAGTCTCTGATCAGGGAGAGTTTCTACTTTCTCCTTGAAAAAATGAATGGAAATTGTGATATGCTGTTGCAATATTCTTCTATTGAAGAAACAGAAAAGACGAGATTATTCAGAAATGTATAACGCGATCGCAGTCTATCTAATTCGCCGATTCTTTCTTATAAACTGTTTAATTTACGATATTCGGATTTATTTAACAAAATTTAACGCGATGACTGAAATGTTTGGCAAAAAAAAAAATATATCCCTTCCTCCGTCAGGCGTCAATTTCACGCTAGCCGGTTTTCGACGAGAGTTCATCATCAGCTCCGGTTCTTAATTAATGCGAAGAATGGTTCTGACGGAAAAAAAGAGAGAAGTGAAGTGAGGGGGGGAGGCACGTTTAGTCAGGGAGAAATACCTGGAAATGGCTCCGGCTCCCGATAATTTATAAAAATGATATTTGCCTCGGGAAAGCGTGACCCGTAAGCCGTCTTAATATCTCTCATTACCGTCTCGCTTCTCCTAGGTCCCCGGTGACCGTGCAATTAAAAAGCTAAGATTGATAAATGACGGGGAATTAATGCGGCCAAGGGGGATGAAAGCGAGGGGGATGGGAGCTGGGCTGGGATCGGGGCTGGAAACGTTTAGGGGGGGTGCCGGCGAAAGAGGGACAGGGTGATTGCGGGTGGCTTAATGGTGTTTGTATGCATGGGAACCGACCTATAGGGGGGGCAGAGGGGGGATGAGGTGGTTATCGTCCTTCGGTCTGTTTCGCGCCCGAAAATCGGGACGTGGTTTAAAGTGCTCGAAATATCTCACCCTCGATAATAATGCATCCCGATGATTCGAAAGGGGGCGAGGGGGACACGCACGTTGTGATTTATCGTTTTTATCCCCTCTTCTTTTCTTTTTTCTCTCGATCTGTTTCAAACAATACATATATATATCAAGTTTATTTGATTTAGCAGAAGGTTAATTTTGAGATTTGATTTTGATTTCGCAGGTGACGCGAGTAACGCGAGTATCGGCAGTGGCGAGGGTACCGGCGAGGAAGACGACGACTCGTCGGGTAAGAAGAACCAGAAGAAGAGGGGTATCTTCCCCAAAGTGGCGACCAACATCCTCAGGGCGTGGCTGTTTCAACACCTCACGGTAAGTGTACATTTTCACGAACGTCTTTCGTCACTCGTGTCTCTCGATCCCGAGGACAGTCAGTTTGTCCACGAGTCCGTTTATTCCGAAACGATCGCTTTTGCGCTCCTTTTTTCTTATTGTGCAAAGAAATCGTTACGAATACGAATACGAATATACGAAGAGGCAAACGATAGGAAAATTCGTGGAGTTCCTAATCCTAAATATTTGGCAACGATTATTCACTTATCAAGGCCCGCTTAAAACCCGGGGAGCGAAGATAAACGACGCGACGAAACGGCGTGGCAAAAAGAAACATTTCCTAAATTGCTTTTACCCCGGCGTCGGAGTTAAGCTCGAGGAACGAAGGGAAAAAGAAAGCGGAGGCGAAGATGGAAAAACGCGTTCGGAGGGACGTACTAATCTCCTAATGCCAAGATAAGGAGCGGTGGCCGCAGCTATGGGTGCCTCTCCTCCCTCTTTGTAACCCCGCTGCTGTCCCCGACTCTCCTTGCCCGTCTAATGATTCACGAGTAATCTGAGCCGTAAAAAGCGCAACGCGATTAAAGGGAGAGGACTTGGAAGGGAGAAGAATGTAGCGCATTTTTGTTCTCGTTCGTTATCTTTCTAAAAAAAAAAAAAAAAAAAAAAAAGAGAAACCCAAAAACCTACTAACCTAACATCTTCCAGTACAAATTTTAACACGGTCGTCATTTTCGACATCGATTCATCCAACAGATCCAACAGTACAGTCGAGAGAATCACCCCGTACATTGTCCCTCGCACTCACGGACACCCCATAGATTTCGAGTGTGATCAGGTTACCTTGCGAGAGCGGTAATCATATTGCAGCTCGGTTAATGCCATTACCGCACGAGGAGGGGAGGATCTGGGAGGGGGGATCGGCAGCCACCCTGGAAACCACCCCGCAACCAG